ATTACATGTCCATTCTGCATTTTTCTGGATATTTTGCCTAGTTATGCGCTATTTATGTGTTTCGTGTGTTATGATGCGATCCACGCCAAATTATGCGATATTATGCGGTCCGGAAATGAACTCAGACGGTCATGTTCATACCCAAACCATCGATAACTTTTCGTTTCTAAGTGTTTTGAAAAATTATGCGATTATGCGATCACATAAAGTGCACATCCCTAATGGGGGTATCCAAGGTTCGAAAATTCTCCCCAAAAGTATTTTTTTAAATGTTCTTCGTAGGGGTAACTCGTCAAAGTAGAGCCCTTCGGGCGAAAATTTCGTCCGTTTCGCTCTATCTCTAAACGTTTCGGCGCTAGAGGGTCTTTCTTTGACGAAAATAAGCTGACAATTCCCCCCCCACTAGAGTGGGGCGTAGGAAAAGGATTTTGGAAATTGAAAACGCAATAGTGCGGAAAAGTTGCCCTGACCGATGACAAATTCAACGCATTGTAACTTTTTGAGATCGGATAATATTTTCCGATCCCGCAGAGCATTCAAAGTTTTGCATGGTTCTCTTATGGGGAAAGGGCTCAAAAAGTGAAATTTCTGATTTTTGGATTTTCTAGCAAACGTTTTTCGAAAACGAATCTCAGAAATGCAATCTACGCAAAAAAAAGCGTCTAGTGATGTGCCACACTTGAAATTTGAGTGAAGCGTTCGGAGTCATTCAGGTGCCACTTTAACTTAAAACTTACACAAAAATGGCTTTGCTGGCCTAAATTTGCACTTACGATCGACTAAACCCTTCATTCAAATTTCAAGTGTGGCACATCGCTAAACGCGTTTTTTCACGTAGACTGCATTTCTGAGATTAGTTTTCGAAAAATGTTTGCTGGAAAGCCAAAAATCAGAAATTTCACTTTTTAAGCCCTTCCCCCATAAGAGAACCATGCAAAACTTTGAACGCTCTGCGGGATCGGAAAATAATATCCGATCTCAAAAAGTTAAAATGCGTTGAATTTGTCATCGGTCAGGGCAACTTTTCCGCACTATTGCGTTTTCAATTTCCAAAATCCTTTTCCTACGCCCCACTCTACCCCCCACCCCACCCCCAAAAATCAAAAAAAAAAACGTTTTCTAAGCAGAAGGACTGGTTGTAGTCGCGGTGCTTCACCGTTACATCCCTTTCCCGAGTCTTTGGGGCAAATTCAAAGACGGCGGGTTTAAGCGGGCCGAAGGACCGCTACATCAGTCGATCGTGTTCTTCAGCAAATCGTGTGACAGAAATGGTCGGGCCGCAGGCCCGACCATCGCCGCCGGCTGGCCAAGCAGGCCCGGCCCCTGCCGAATGGAGTTAGCGGCGGAGCGAAGCAGAGCTGGCAACTTCGTTTGGCGGAAGGGTAGGCCTGCTTGTTTCACAGATGGAAGTACTCGAAAAAACAAACATATAGCTGAAATACGAAAAAAACCTAAGCTCGCGCTAACGTGGAAGCAGATGATACGGCTTTATCTTTTGATGAATTTACGTTTTATTTAATTTGTAACAATACTGTGACATAACCCAGTTTTGTTGACAATACTGGGCCTTAACCCAGTATTGTTGACAATACTGGGCTTTGGCTCTGTATTGTTGACAATACTGGGCCTCA